ATGTTGGTGACAGATAGACCAGGTATGTTGGTGACAGATAGACCAGGTATGTTGGTGACAGATAGACCAGGTATGTTGGTGACAGATAGCTAGTTATGTTGGTGACAGATAGACCAGGTATGTTGGTGACAGATAGGCCAGGTATGTTGGTGACAGACAGACCAGGTATGTTGGTGACAGATAGACCAGGTATGTTGGTGACAGATAGACCAGGTATGTTGGTGACAGATAGACCAGGTATGTTGGTGACAGATAGGCCAGGTATGTTGGTGACAGAGAGACCAGGTATGTTGGTGACAGAGAGACCAGGTATGTTGGTGACAGAGAGACCAGGTATGTTGGTGACAGAGAGACCAGGTATGTTGGTGACAGATAGACCAGGTATGTTGGTGACAGATAGACCAGGTATGTTGGTGACAGATAGACCAGGTATGTTGGTGACAGATAGACCAGGTATGTTGGTGACAGACAGGCCAGGTATGTTGGTGACAGACAGACCAGGTATGTTGGTGACAGACAGACCAGGTATGTTGGTGACAGATAGGCCAGGTATGTTGGTGACAGAGAGACCAGGTATGTTGGTGACAGATAGACCAGGTATGTTGGTGACAGATAGACCAGGTATTTTGGTGACAGATATACCAGGTATGTTGGTGACAGATAGACCAGCTATGTTGGTGACAGATAGCAAGGTATGTTGGTGACAGATAGACCAGGTATGTCGGTGACAGATAGGCCAGGTATGTTGGTGACAGAGAGACCAGGTATGTTGGTGACAGATAGACCAGGTATGTTGGTGACAGATAGACCAGGTATGTTGGTGACAGATAGACCAGGTATGTTGGTGACAGATAGACCAGGTATGTTCAGGTATGTTGGTGACAGATAGACCAGGTATGTTGGTGACAGATAGACCAGGTATGTTGGTGACAGATAGACAAGTATGTTGGTGACAGATAGACCAGGTATGTTGGTGACAGACAGACAAGTATGTTGGTGACAGATAGACCAGGTATGCTGGTGACAGATAGACCAGGTATGTTGGTGACAGACAGACAAGTATGTTGGTGACAGATAGACCAGGTATGTTGGTGACAGATAGACCAGGTATGTTGGTGACAGATAGACCAGGTATGTTGGTGACAGATAGCCAGGTATGTTGGTGACAGAGAAACAGCTATGTCGGTGCCAGGTTTTCACATAAGTGTCTGACAGAAAGATTGTATATCCAGGTAAGACTTGTCCATTGCCCTACACCTGCCTTCTAATTAGCTCTGATTTTTATTACTTGTTCTGCCATTAGAAAGGATAGGAAGTAATAGATCTAAAGGTACTTATATATCAATAGTGATCTTATCAGAGATATACCTGTCTACAATTTCAGACCTATCTAAGCTCTGACACAGACATATCTGTATATGTACGATTTCAGACCTATCCAAGCTCTGTTTTCAGACCTCACACTGAATTACACTGCTCACCTGTCAGATGATAAGGAAGTGATCATGTAAGAAACACCATGCATAATTAATAGGTGATTATCACCTTATTAAAATCTGTGAATTTTCTATTCAGATATCAAGATGACCCTACATTCACATGTCACCTGTCCACACCACTATACCACTTTCAGACATTTCCATGCCTAGCACATCTCTTAATCCATCTCCCTTCTAAAATGTCAGTCAGTCCCCTCCACATCACTACAGGGAGTCCCCATCACTACAGGAGTCCCCATCACTACAGGGAGTCCACATCACTACAGGGAGTCCCCATCACTACAGGAGTACCTATCACTACAGGGAGTCCACATCACTACAGGGAGTCCCTATCACTACAGGGAGTCCCCATCACTACAGGAGTACCCATCACTACAGGGAGTCCACATCACTACAGGAGTCCCCATCACTATAGGGAGTCCCCATCACTACAGGGAGTCCCCATCACTACAGGAGTCCCCATCACTACAGAAAGTCAACATCACTACAGGAGTCCCCATCACTACAGGGAGTCCCCATCACTACAGGGAGTCCCTATCACTACAGGAAGTCCACATCACTACAGGGAGTCCCCATCACTACTGGGTGTCCACATCACTACAGGGAGTCCCCATCACTACAGGGAGTCCCCATCACTACAGGAGTCCCCATCACTACAGGGAGTCCACATCACAACAGGAGTCCCCATCACTACAGGGAGTCCACATCACTACAGGAGTCCCCATCACTACAGGGAGTCCCCATCACTACAAGGAGTACCCATCACTACAGGGAGTCCCCATCACTACAGGCCCATCACTACAGGGAGTCCCCATCACTACAGGGAGTCCCCATCACTACAGGAGTCCCCATCACTACAGGGAGTCCACATCACTACAGGGAGTCCACATCACTACAGGAGTCCCCATCACTACAGGGAGTCCCCACCACTACAGGGAGTCCCCATCACTACAGGGAGTCCACATCACTACAGGGAGTCCCCAACACTACAGGAGTCCCCATCACTACAGGGAGTCCCCATCACTACAGGGAGTCCCCATCACTACAGGGAGTCCCCATCACTACAGGGAGTCCCCATCACTACAGGGAGTCCCCACCACTACAGGGAGTCCACATCACTACCGGGAGTCCACGTCACTACAGGAAGTCCCCATCACTACAGGGAGTCCCCATCACTACAGGGAGTCCACATCACTACAGGGAGTCCCCATCACTACAGGAAGTCCCCATCACTTCAAGGAGTCCCCATCACTACAGGGAGTCCCCATCACTACAGGGAGTCCCTATCACTACAGGGAGTCCCCACCACTACACTGTCTTCCTCTCCCCTCCCTTTTGTACAGAGCAGCAGTCTGCCACTGAATACATTAAACAGAATATGGTAAAAGTGATTTACTGTCACCAATAACATAAGGTGATAACATAAAACTGATGCAGTGCTAATCTGTCTTGCATTTTTTAACACCAGCCTAAGTATACCCACAGAGGTTGAATCCTCTTACATGTGTATAGATAAACTCTACAGGTCTGTAGGAACACACCAGCCTCACTATACGGTATATAGATAAACTCTATAGGTCTGTAGGAACACACCAGCCTCACTATACGGTATATAGATAAACTCTATAGGTCTGTAAGAACACATCAGCCTCACTATACGGTATATAGATAAACTATATAGGTCTGTAAGAACACACCAGCCTCACTATACGGTATATAGATAAACTCTATAGGTCTGTAGGAACAGACCAGCCTCACTATACCAACAGGAGAATAAATTCATAGGGCTGTAGAAACACACCAGCCTCACTACACCAACAGGGGTTGAGTGATCAGTAAAGGCTAAACTTTGTATATACAGGCCTTAAGAGGTACCACATGAAGAAGCCATTATATCTGAGAAGAAAACTGTCATATGCTCAGAACATTTTGATATCGATGAAGTACATTAATTCAATATAGTCATTCATCTTATATATACCTCAATCTCCCATAACATTTTCTCGGGATTTCATGATAATGTCTTCCTGGCCCAAAGATATGACTTCACTCACACTTCTCAAAACACCTTATTTATGTCAGTAAATGTGGAAAACTATATCTTAGTTTTGATGGAGTGTTAGCATGACAAAACAAAATGAGAAAACACAGATCAGCTCACTCAAAACTACGATATCTAGTGCTCCCAGTGGACAGCATTGTGTACACTCAGAATGTTTATCATGTGTTATGATATCATTAGTCACCATTTAATTGTGTTAAATGTTCACTAATACTGATATCTATACTCCATTTACTTGCTGCATGCTGTTCTATAACAATGGAGCCTGCACTAGCATATACTCTTGTACAGAAAACACAAGTAAATAGCTGCACCTTCTCATACAACATTAGACACAGTATTGAGCCAAACCACACATAAAACTGCATCATACAGCTGTTTCATCCTTCTAGAACACTTTGATGCTAATCCTTCCATTTTAACTAAAAAAAAAAACTCATATCCATGATTCTTATAAAAAGATGGAGCTTTTATTTTATAAATAAAAAAATGAAACCAAGAAAATAGATTCAAACAATTGATTGAGAGAGTGATGTGATTCAGGAAGACAAAAGCATAGGAAACAGGTAATATCTCTGGGACTTCAATATCTCTGGGACTTCAATATCTCTGTTCAATATCTCTGGGACTTGTCCATCAGTTATGTTTATATACTATAAACAGTGTATAGGGTATTGAAGTCACCACTTTCCTCTGACAGAAATGGTGTATCACAGCAATCACTATACACATAAAAGGGTCAAGTCCTTGTAGTAATTTACAGGTGTCCATCACCTCCACACACCAAACAAGTTCATTGTAAAACCTCCACTACTGCTGTCACAGGTCTGTAGGGAGATAAGGCTGGCCAATAAGGCAGCCAGTCATACTGGAATTCTGCAGTGTGTGTCAGCACTGGGCTTAAGGATGGTTTCCAATGCCAGGAAGCATGATTTATGTTTGTAACATTGACACATACCAAGTAATTTGATGAGCTCAATTTCCAGTGTTGGAAGTATATTAATATTAATTGACTTGGGATACTCTGTGATGACACAACTTGCTGAGGGGGCAGATGAATTACGATACATTGCTATAAAAAATCAGTGTTTATCTGCTAACAGATAGCTTTCACTTCAACAATTTCAGCTCTAATGACAAAGTGTTTCCAGTAATTTGTGCTATATCCTAAATGGCAAGGTATCATGGCATTTCTATTGCTCTTGTCATCAGCTTTGTCACAGTACACTAACAAGGGAAGGAATGGCCCTGTGCGGGTGAGATTTGAGACACTGACATATGGTACGACTTCAGCCATACCACAATTGTATAGTCTCGCTGCCTGTTGCTTCCAACCAGTCTCCAGTCCATGTCACCAGGATCCTGAGTGACACCTCAAGCGAGCCTGTGACTATCCGTCCACTTTAACTGGTTTTTTTTCCATTTACCTCAACATCTTATCAAAAGATGTTTGAACTCACTACTAAAGGTCTGGAACACTTGTGACCCAAAGGATTAATATAAACCGAAAGGTATGTTTTTATAAATCTACATGTGTTAACTTATTAACTCTCAGTGATGATTTTAACCTTATTTTGCAAATACATGTGTTTATCAAAAAATTACTGGTTGTAACATTCAATTCAGTTATTCCATATTAACTTGAATCATATTAAATTGTGGGGGTTGCTTTTACTACCATTATAACACATACAAGGATAACAATTCTATAATTCAGAAATGATTCTATTATATACTTTTTACAAGTTTTCATAGACTGGGGTATTACTGGGTTGCTATATATGTATATGGGTTATCTCTGGGTCACAATATATTTTGGGTTATCACTGGGTCACTACTTATAATTAGTGGGATCACTTTTCAGGGTTATTACATATTAAAAGAAAATATCACTAGGTCACTAAATAATAGGGTTATCACAGGGTCATTACATAACAGGGTTATCAAAGGGTCACTACATACCAGGGTTAGAAAAGGATCACTACATACCAGGGTTATCAAAGGGTCACTACATACCAGGGTTATCAAAGGGTCACTGGGTTAATACATACAAATAGGATATATCACTAGGTTACTATACACCAGGGTTATCACTGAGTCACTATATACATGGATATCATTGGATTACTATATATCAGGGTTATCAGAGAGTCAATATATTCCAGAGGTATCATTGGGTCACCATATACCACAGGTATTACTGGGTCACTATATACAACAGGTATCTCATTATCACTATACCCAGGGGTATCACAGGATCACTATAGAGGGGATATGACTGGGTCACTATATACAGGGGTTACCATTGGGTCACTTCATGCCGGAGTTACCATTGAGTCACTATCTGCAGGACTTGCCATTTAGTCACTACATACAGGGGTTACCATTGTGTCATTATATACAGGGCTTACCATTGGGTGACAATTTACAGAGAAGTTATCATTTGGTTACTATATACAGGGCACCATCAGGTTATTATTATACAGGGGTTACCATTGAGTCACTATATACAGGATTTACCAATGTGTCATTTATATATAGTGTGGTTACCATTCAGTCACATTATACAGGAGTTACCATTGGGTGACAATATACATAGAAGTTACCATTTGATTATAATATACAGGGGACCATTAGGTTATTAATATACAGGGGTTACCATTGGGTGACTAGGTACAGAAGTTGCCACTGAGTCACTTTATATTGGAGTTACAAATGGGTTACTAAATGTATGTACAGAAGTTACCATTGAGTCACCATATACAAAAGTGATCATGAAGTTACTATATACAAAAAGTGACCATTGAGTCACTTTATACAGAAGTGACCATTGAGTCACTATATACAGGAGTTACCATTGAGTCACTATATACAGAAGTGACCATTGAGTCACTTTATACAGAAGTGACCATTGGAATGCTTTATACATTAGTTTCCATTAGGTGACTTTGTACAGAAGTTACCATCTGGTCACTAAATACAGGGGTAACCATTGGGTGACTATGTACAGAAGTTACCATTGAACCCTACATAAAGGAATTACCATCTGGTCACTATATACATTGGTTACCATTGGGTGACTTTGTACAGAAGTTACAATCTGGTCACTAAATACAGGGGTAACCATTGGGTGACTATGTACAGAAGTTACCATTGAACCCTACATAAAGGAATTACCATCTGGTCACTATATACATTGGTTACCATTGGGTGACTATGTACAGAAGTTACCATCTGGTCACTAAATACAGGGGTAACCATTAGGTGACTATATACAGAAGTTACCATTGAACCCTACATAAAGGAATTACCATCTGGTCACTATATACATTGGTTACCATTGGGTGACTATGTACAGAAGTTACCATCTGGTCACTAAATACAGGGATAACCATTAGGTGACTATGTACAGAAGTTACCATTGAACCCTACAATTGAACCCTACATAAAGGAATTACCATCTGGCCACTATATACATTGGTTACCATTGGGTGACTATGTACAGAAGTTACAATAGGGTCACTACATACATCTGACTACATGTTACAAATTTTGACTTATCTTGACTGAAACATGGCATCTTTGCTCTCTACTGTAAACAGGATGGATCTTATTATCTTCTTTTCACTGTAACATTAGGTGCAATGACTCTATTGTTTCCTACAAATCTAACTAATCAATAAGAGATGTCACGAAATCTGATTATGCCAGCAGTCCTCTATTGAGGCCATTAGTGAATGTTCAGCCTGTGTATCACCCACTGGCTAAACACCATCAATCATTTCAAAGTAGATATCAACATAAGTTATTTACACAATCAGCATGAGATAGGATAAATCGAAAAGCTTTCAAGTACTCATCAGACTTAGAGAAATTTTGTTGCCATAACAACGCATCTCTGATTACATGTCTCTAACATGTTTTATCTTTCTGTTCCTAGAAGCATGTGACTCTGATCTCTTCTATCCAGTCCTAGGCAGGTCTCTAATCAATTTTGTACTGTCCTAAAAAAATCACTGATTATTTCTATCCTGACATGTCCTGTCACATTACTCTGATCTCTTCTGTCCTATCACATGCCCCTGATCTCTTCTACCCTGTCCTATCACATGTCCCTGATCTCTTCTACCCTGTCCTATCACATGTCCCTGATCTCTTCTACCCTGTCCTATCACATGTCCCTGATCTCTTCTGTCCTATCACATGTCCCTGATCTCTTCTACCCTGTCCTATCACATGTCCCTGATCTCTTCTACCCTGTCCTATCACATGTCCCTGATCTCTTCTGTCCTATCACATGTCCCTGATCTCTTCTGTCCTATCACATGTCCCTGATCTCTTCTACCCTGTCCTATCACATGTCCCTGATCTCTTCTACCCTGTCCTATCACATGCCCCTGATCTCTTCTACCCTGTCCTATCACATGTCCCTGATCTCTTCTACCCTGTCCTATCACATGCCCCTGATCTCTTCTACCCTGTCCTATCACATGTCCCTGATCTCTTCTACCCTGTCCTATCACATGTCCCTGATCTCTTCTACCCTGTCCTATCACATGTCCCTGATCTCTTCTACCCTGTCCTATCACATGCCCCTGATCTCTTCTGTCCTATCACATGTCCCTGATCTCTTCTGTCCTATCACATGTCCCTGATCTCTTCTACCCTGTCCTATCACATGACCCCTCCTGTCCTATCACATGCCCCTGATCTCTTCTACCCTGTCCTATCACATGTCCCTGATCTCTTCTGTCCTATCACATGTCCCTGATCTCTTCTACCCTGTCCTATCACATGCCCCTGATCTCTTCTACCCTGTCCTATCACATGTCCCTGATCTCTTCTGTCCTATCACATGTCCCTGATCTCTTCTACCCTGTCCTATCACATGTCCCTGATCTCTTCTACCCTGTCCTATCACATGTCCCTGATCTCTTCTACCCTGTCCTATCACATGTCCCTGATCTCTTCTACCCTGTCCTATCACATGTCCCTGATCTCTTCTACCCTGTCCTATCACATGTCCCTGATCTCTTCTACCCTGTCCTATCACATGTCCCTGATCTCTTCTACCCTGTCCTATCACATGTCCCTGATCTCTTCTACCCTGTCCTATCACATGTCCCTGATCTCTTCTACCCTGTCCTATCACATGTCCCTGATCTCTTCTACCCTGTCCTATCACATGTCCCTGATCTCTTCTACCCTGTCCTATCACATGTCCCTGATCTCTTCTACCCTGTCCTATCACATGTCCCTGATCTCTTCTGTCCTATCACATGACCCTGATCTCTTCTACCCTGTCCTATCACATGTCCCTGATCTCTTCTACCCTGTCCTATCACATGTCCCTGATCTCTTCTACCCTGTCCTATCACATGTCCCTGATCTCTTCTACCCTGTCCTATCACATGTCCCTGATCTCTTCTACCCTGTCCTATCACATGTCCCTGATCTCTTCTACCCTGTCCTATCACATGTCCCTGATCTCTTCTACCCTGTCCTATCACATGTCCCTGATCTCTTCTACCCTGTCCTATCACATGTCCCTGATCTCTTCTACCCTGTCCTATCACATGTCCCTGATCTCTTCTACCCTGTCCTATCACATGTCCCTGATCTCTTCTACCCTGTCCTATCACATGTCCCTGATCTCTTCTACCCTGTCCTATCACATGTCCCTGATCTCTTCTACCCTGTCCTATCACATGCCCCTGATCTCGTCTGTGTTGTGCTGAACATGTTCCCAATCTATTCTGTCCTGTCCTGACACATGTCTCTGATCTTTTCTGTCCTGACACACGTCTCTTATCAATTTTGTCCTGACACATGTCTCTGATCTTTTCTGTCCTGACACATGCCTCTGATCTTTTCTGTCCTGACACATGTCTCTGATCTTTTCTGTCCTGACACACGTCTCTGATCTTTTTTGTCCTGACACACGTCTCTGATCTTTTTTGTCCTGACACATGTCTCTGATCTTTTCTGTCCTGACACATGTCTCTGATCTTTTCTGTCCTGACACATGCCTCTGATATTTCTTGTCCTGACACACGTCTCTGATCTTTTTTGTCCTGACACATGTCTCTGATCTTTTCTGTCCTGACATATGTCTCTGATCTTTTCTGTCCTGACACATGTCTTTAATCTTTTCTGTCCTGACACATGTCTTTAATCTTTTCTGTCCTGTTCTGATAATATCCATCTATATCTATTTTGTCCAGTTCCAGTTACGTCCATGATCACGTTTTCCTCTATCCTGTTTCCATTTACACTGAAAGCTACAGGTCACAAAATGTATGCTTTACTGAAGGAAAATGACCATATAAACTAATTGTTATCTCTAGTCATTAGAACTGAATTCTGAATGATGGATTATCTTTTTAGCAACATGTAATGGTACAATGGTTCCCTACTACCTCATCAGTTATTTATAACAGAATCTGAGAAGATTTGAAACAAGACATGATACAAATAAGGCTCCATTGGTCTCAGCCATAAAATACTGATTACAAGGGCAGGAGACAGTGGTATGTAGGCTTAGATACAAACGCTGTTAACAATTTAATTTAAAAACAGTCACTTACATGATGAGTGGTTCATAAAACCTGAAGCACTCAGTACACCAATATATTCTACAATCACGGACACTCTCTGCCTGTCTGGAGGCCCACCTTGTTAAAACCCACCAATAACATTTTATGATGTCTAAAGATAATTGCTTTTGATGTCACAAAATAAATAGCAGTAACTTAGAATCAACAGTATATAGTATTATCATTATAAACATCTACACATTGTACTCAGGTCCCTCCTAAGATCCTGAAGTGACACATTGTACAATAGCTGTAAGTGATGCCTGTATGGTTCATTCACTATAGCATGTACTGTATGATGTCTGTATGATTTCTTTATCAGAACATGCACTGTATGATGTCTGTGTGATTTCTTTATCAGAACATGTACTGTATGAAGACTGTATGATTTCTTCATCAGAACATGAACTGTATGATGTCTGTATGATTTCTTTATCAGAACATGTACTGTATGATGTCTGTGTGATTTCTTCATCAGAACATGTACTGTATGAAGACTGTATGAGTTCTTCATCAGAACATGTACTGTATGATGTCTGTATGAGTTCTTCATCAGAACATGAACTGTATGATGTCTGTATGAGTTCTTCATCAGAACATGAACTGTATGATGTCTGTATGAGTTCTTCATCAGAACATGAACTGTATGATGTCTGTATATGTTCTTCATCAGAACATGAACTGTATGATGTCTGTATGAGTTCTTCATCAGAACATGTACTGTATGAAGACTGTATGATTTCTTCAACAGAACATGTACTGTATGATGTCTGTATGAGTTCTTCATCAGAACATGAACTGTATGATGTCTGTATGAGTTCTTCATCAGAACATGAACTGTATGATGTCTGTATGAGTTCTTCATCAGAACATGAACTGTATGATGTCTGTATGAGTTCTTCATCAGAACATGTACTGTATGATGTCTGTATGAGTTCCTCATCAGAACATGTACTGTATGATGTCTGTATGATTTCTTCATCAGAACATGAACTGTATGATGTCTGTGTAATTTCTTCATCAGAACATTTACTGTATGATGTCTGTGTGATTTCTTCATCAGAACATGAACTGTATGATGTCTGTATGAGTTCTTCATCAGAACATGAACTGTATGATGTCTGTATGAGTTCTTCATCAGAACATGTACTGTATGATGTCTGTATGAGTTCCTCATCAGAACATGTACTGTATGATGTCTGTATGATTTCTCCATCAGAACATGAACTGTATGATGTCTTCATCAGAACATTTACTGTATGATGTCTGTGTGATTTCTTCATCAGAACATGTACCGTATGAAGACTGTATGATTTCTTCATCAGAACATGTACTGTATGATGTCTGTATGAGTTCTTCATCAGAACATGTACTGTATGAAGACTGTATGAGTTCCTCATCAGAACATGTACTGTATGAAGACTGTATGATTTCTTCAACAGAACAATGTACTGTATGATATATACATAATACCCATGGTTATTGTGATGAACTCATTTATTGCTATTTAAGTACACAGACATGGTGGTGTTTCAGAGAAAAGGGTTCATCTGTCTGCTGCATCCATCATAATGTTGGTAATCACTAATTCATATAACACAGGAAATTCACACACCTTATTCAAATCATGTCCTCACAATTGTACAAATACTTGTGGGCGTAAGTTTTGGCTACGTCAGACTACTTCCTAATTTTCATAAAACAAACATAATATGATAACACAGGGTGACACGTCTGTTAAGGAGACTTTCTCACATCACTTTAACAAAATCATACAAAAGTGTATGAGGAGGAAGTGCATGTGACCTTGTAAATGACATGTCCCCATGTTGTACATATCCAAATTCCCCTGTGTATCAGCCGTTCATGGACTACACTACAACTCAGGTATTTAAGCGTGTTTTTAGTGTAAGATTTTAGAACAATAACTGTAGTGTGAAAATCGTTCACTGTTCCATAGTAAAATTCTCACTATAGTGAAGGCTATCAGGTAAGGAATCTTTTGTTTACACACAAACATATTTATATGTGAACATATGATATAAAATTACACCAGTATATCCTTGTGGTGAGGACTTTATGGTTGCTATTAAGACCTGGCCTGGTGAGAAACGAGGAGGCTACAATTCAGACCGTCAGGATTTCAGGACAGTATTCAACATTATTCTGTCATTTTATCTGCTGTGTGATTACAATGGTGACCAGCACAGGTGATGGGTGAATTTTACTGTTAATACTGATTTACTCTTATCAAAGAATGCGGCCAGATATTATAGATAAATACATGTATTAATATAATTGTGTATCATTACAGTGTCCACAGACTTTCATAAAATAAGCAACACACTGTAATAGTAGTATGTTACTGTGATTAAATTAAAGTCAAATTAAGGACAGAAAAAAGAGCACAAATTTTGATCTGTAAATAAGTATACATTACAGGAATTGAGGCTTTTAATTGAGGTTTTTAATTGAGGTTTTTTAATTGAGGTTAGAGCAGCTAGGTATCCCCTACAATGGTCTGTGTCATTTACACTTTAATATGTTTCAATAGGCATCACCATCAAATCATCATTTTCCTTAAGACTTGCTAAATAACCATTTAGGAAATTAACTTCAAGGTTTATATATCAATCAATAATTATTAATGTTTTGCTCAATGTCCTTATAATGCACATACATAGAAATAGGAATTAAGCGGTGATCTAAATACTTCTCATTAACATACTGATGAACTATAAATATTGTCTTCTAGACATACTACTCTCAGACTTTATGTGGCCAAGTTACATAGAGCAATCATATATGAAATGATCTATGACAGACAGAAATTTAAATAGACTGTGTAAATATACTTTATATGCAAAACTTCTGCAGTCCCAGACAATATTTGTCAGTAATTCTAATAAATGCCACTTCCTTTTCGGGCTATTATCATTTAATTGTGCTTAAAGACATTTTTTTTTTTTGTATTTCAGAGCATTTTAAGTCTTAAATGAAAATGTAATGATAAATGGGATGGTTCAGTATTCAGTAGAAAGTAAGTGTTCTGTCAACTCTTCACATCGTCATAAAACCACACATCTGACACACACAGCACACACTCCACACTCAAAACACTCGACACTTGACTAACGACATATTCAATAAACGACAGTTCAATAAGGCCCTGAGTTAGGTATCTCCGGGGAAAGTCCTGCTATTTAGGGGAGCTTACTCTACGTGGCAGTTATATCCAGTTAGACAGTTCCTACTTCTTCCTGTCTACAATTTCAAAGATATATAGACGATCTGATATGTCTAGTACTTAATTACTGACACACATAAATAACACCCTCCATACAGTATGGTAAGTAAATTTGTTCCTTAGATGTAGCGTCTTCTACTTAATCTGTCAAACACAGATCTATGAGGACGTGGTCTGTGGGAAAACTGACATTTTCTAACTACCATATGAAAGCAGTCTGAAGAAAGAGTAGTCTCCCTTATTTATAACAACAAAAGATTCAGTGGTCTCCTTTCCCACACACATATCTATGATATAACTGACAGTTACAAATCCTTATCAGAGTTTGAGTTTGATTTTTGTAATGTTTGTGGAGAAGAAAAACTGAATATTTCCAAATAGTAATTGTAAAAGGATTATATTGGATATGCTGTGCTGTTTACCTTAATTATCACTCTTCAACTACACTTTGCAATAGAAATTGAAAATAGAAGTGAAAGTACATACAGCTTTCCAGTGGAAAAGCTTACAAAAACCCATTTACATCCAATTTCATGTCACGCCATGTTGATGTTTGTTATCCCTATTTTCCGAGAAGAACTGTCAGATCTTGATCGCATAATTATGACACCCCTTTTTTTTCTGAAGTTGTGTATTCCATAAGCATCATACAGGTCATAAAACTATACATTTAAAAAATCCACCAACCACACAGACGATATGATAATACACATAAAACAGTAGACAGCAGGTTAGTTTAAAACCACACTATGAATATCACACAAACAAGTTAAATATTCATACTTCTACAATTTAAAATTCTACACACCAGTGGAATGTTAACTGTTTCAATATATCATGTAATTTCAGCAGCGTTATGCTAAAATTGATTTCCATTAAAGTATGCATCCATCAACAGCTGTTCGCTTGCCATTTACACGCGATGGATCAGTGGTAATACATAATCTACTTTTACACCTCTCTGATGACCAAGCTCCTTTGATGTTATCATTGAGAAGCTAATTAATGTCTTTTAATACCTAAAATTAATTGTAACTCTCTTTGATTTTAGGAGGACGTAGTACTGAAGTGGTTGTTCAGTATACTGACTGTAAGGAGAATATACAGGAAGTCTAGGTACTTGTGACCAAGAGGATGTGATGTTGGCAGGAAGCAGTGGTACATGTTACAGTATACATGGAACAATTCATCACCCTAATCAATAGCATTCCATTTCAACAATAACAGACAACATTGGAGGTTATATTGGAATTTTATCTCTGTACACAGTGGATATCACAGCATGTAAATAAAGCCGTCATCATCAGCATTTTTCTTACTATTGGGAGTACCAATTACAGAGGCTTCTGAAAAAAAACTTCAATGTAATACCAAATTAATGATGAAGCAAGTTATCTCTGCGATTGCAGAGCTCATCAGCAACCCATTGTGAGAAATCAATTGCTTTCTCTGCTATCTGGACTAGTGTTTAGTATCAACACTTAGATGTGGGTAGGAGGTCGCATGAACCATATGTGATGGGCTTTATTATAGTGAGCAAATAAAGGCTAGAGCGATGCGATCTCGATCTCCTCTATAGCTGATGAGCGTGGTGACATAGGAATTGTGGACACATGATAGCAAGGCCCTCAGCAACAACTCATCATCCTCATCTGATCTAGTGTCACAATTCAACATAGAAGGCATGAACTCCTCACCATCTCCACGAGCACATTACTGTAATAGGAAAACCATGTTGTCTCCTACGACTTAAGTCATCAGCCACTCAATAATCTATATATAACCCAGAGCTGACATAAAACATCAGATATATACAACTCTTGCTTTCCCCAGAATATAACTAAAATCAAATCATCCTAGGAAGGAAACAGATCACTTCAGGGACACTATACAGATTACATTGTAATCATCACTGTGGACTCTTCTATATTAGTGAATATATTAAAGATAGCAGTGAAACAATATCATTGACCAGACTCCTGCCATCATGTTCCCTATAGCAAATGACAGCGTGTCCATCCATCTTAATCAGAGTGAGACTAAGATGGAACTCTACTCTATCGTGTTGTCAACGACCATGTTGTGTCTGGCGATGGTGTTCGGCACTGGGGGTAATATCACAATTCTCATGTCCCTGTGTACCTATCGCCTACTGAGAAAACACCACTACATCCTCATTGTCTTGTTCATCATCACCTGCCTCATCCTTGATGTAGTCTGGTGCCCCATGGAAATCTATCATCTGATCCAACATCACCATGACAACGCTGCAGTAGATGCAACCTTCACCTTTGCTGGACAAAGTCTTTACATTTTCCTCATCACTTCAATTCTGTGCATTCTTTCTATTGTAAGTGTTCAAAGTTTGTGCAAGTTAACGTCCAACTGGATCTCAAGGCACTTTGTTCTTGCCCTGTCTTTGACAGTAAGTCTGGTGCTGGTACTTAGCCTGGCAGTGGGCTATGGGGTGTTGTCAGCCTATAGGGAGGGTGACACAAAACTTACTGAGTACCAAATACTCAATGACCATTCCTACAAATACAGGATCATTGTTTACAGTTTCGCTTTGTGGATTGCTCTATCATTTGCTATGCTGATAACTTTGGTAATTTGCAGACATAAAACAGCTAAAGACCTAAATGTAGATATTGCATCAGAGTACTCAGAACCACCCACACCTGAACGACTTAACATTCCAACACTTCTCATCAAAGGGGAAGAAGAAGAGGGTAGTGACATTGAAAAGGAAGAGGACAAAAAGTCTATTTCAAACTCTCAAAGATTCCTCAGTATGCAGGCGTCAGCATCAACAAAAGAGGATAACATGTCCACTGTTGGTGACCTTCCATCACCCTCAAAGTCAAAGATCTCCAGTAACCACTTAGGGGTCAACATGGCTGCCATCTTAGGCAGGAGGCGTCACACCATTGGCCAGATTGGTCCAACAGGTCTCGATGTTGGTGAAAAAACAAAGCAGTACAATTACGTGAGAAAGTTTTCAGTTGATATAGAAGCACTTCAAGCACAGCTTGAAAATCCAAAAGTGTATGGAGGGGCAATTTCTTTCCGTTCAGACACAGAGCTGCAAAAGTCTACTCAGAATGATAACAAAATGGAATTACCCAAGCGACCACATACACCTCTGTTGGACATTAGACTAAGTGGTCTTCAAAAAACACAATTGGAGGAGAAAAATGAGGAGAATTCGGGAGAGGAAGAAGAAAATCCTGATAAAGGTGATGATATGAGCACCAAGGAGGACTATGATATGGAAAATGCAAACCACATATGTGAAAAATTACAAAATTCCAGTCACGAGACCTTAAGTCCACCAATCATCACACTCTCAGAGACAACTGGGGATGAGCTTAATGAACCTATAGTAAATAATAGGTTTAAAAAGGGAATGGGACACTATCGACTCACCTGTCTCCTCCTAGTTACCTTCATGTGTTGTTTATTGCCAATGTTCATCACAGAGGCTTTACGAGAACTCTTGTCACAGCGAGCCTATGTGAATATCCTCACCTGTACAATGTCACTGTCTGTGGTACAGACCATCATATTTCCACACATACTTTTCTGTATGGACAATTTCACACACATAGCAGTACACACTTTCTTTGGTAAGGTGCATGCACATGTAATGCACATGTGCTATGGACACCATCAGGTACCAACATCAGAGCAGGTGGACATTACAGTCACACAGGTGTGATATGACAAAGTGAAATTGGGACAGCTTATGGTGAGAACAGTTGAATACTGGACCAGTATAACTGTAAAGTCAGGACATCTGAGATCTGGACAGGTTATGGGCAGGACAGTTGAAAACTGAACAGATACAATTGCAAAGTTAGGTCAGTTGAAAACTAGATATGTACAATTGTGTAGTGACTAGACAGGACCAGTATGAGTAGGACAGCTGAAATCTAGACTGCAATTGGTCAGGGCAAGTTTAAATTTTGGACAAGTATGGTCAGGTAAAGTGAACTCTGGACAGGTATGACAAGGAAAAATCTGGGTTGGCTTTGTTAGGTCTGGACACATTAGGGCAAGATAGATCAAATCTGGACACCTTGGGTCAGGCAGGTGAAATCTGGACATTTTGGGTGAAATCTGATTACAGGGCAATTTTTATTATGGCAGATGTGATCTTTTAGGTTTTAATGGACATTTGATCTGAACAGGCTTCATGGACTGGTGTCATCAGGACAGCTTTCATCTGAAAATGTTGTTGTCTTGTTGATCAGGACTTGTTTTACCTGGACAGGTGAGATAAGAATTTTTTTACCACAAAAACAGTTTGGTAGCTAGGATCTGAGAACTGGATTTACCTGAACAAGTGTAATTTGGACTGATTTTACTTTGACATGTTGGATCAGGACTAGTTTTACCTAAACAAACAGGTGTGACAGGACTAGTTTTACCTAAACAAACAGGTGTGACAGGACTAGTTTTACCTAAACAAACAGGTGTGACAGGACTAGTTTTACCTAAACAAACAGGTGTGACAGGACTGGTTTTACCTAAACAAACAGGTGTGACAGGACTAGTTTTACCTAAACAAACAGGTGTGACAGGACTAGTTTTACCTAAACAAACAGGTGTGACAGGACTAGTTTTACCTAAACAAACAGGTGTGACAGGACTAGTTTTACCTAAACAAACAGGTGTGACAGGACTGGTTTTACCTAAACAAACAGGTGTGACAGGACTGGTTTTACCTAAACAAACAAGTGTGACAGGACTGGCTTTACCTAAACAAACAGGTGTGACAGGACTAGTTTTACCTAAACAAACAGGTGTGACAGTACTGGCTTTACCTTAACAAACAGGTGTGACAGGACTAGTTTTACCTGAACAGGTAAGATCAAGACTGACTTTACCTAAACAAACAGGTGTGACAGGACTGGCTTTACCTAAACAAACAGGTGTGACAGGACTGGTTTTACCTGAACAGGAGAAATATTGAGAAATTTACTTGAGAGAATGGAACAGTGGTGACAAGGGCAGGTGTGATTTTGTCATAATCTGCTAATGTAGAATTGGAAAAGAGTTGATAATAATTAGATATAAACATCTGGTCACCTGCATACAGTGGGCTGTAGACATCCCTTAATCAGGACACTTGGTCACCTGTATACAGTGGGTTGTAGACATCCCTTAATCAGGACACCTGGTCACCTGTATACAGTGGGTTGTAGACATCCCTTAATCAGGACACCTGGTCACCCGTATACAGTGGGTTGTAGACATCCCTTAATCAGGACACCTGGTCACCTGTATACAGTGGGCAGTAGACATCCCTTAATCAGGACACCTGGTCACCTGTATACAGTGGGTTGTAGACATCCCTTAATCAGGACACCTGGTCACCTGTATACAGTGGGCAGTAGACATCCCTTAATCAAGACACCTGTCACCTGTATACAGTGGGTTGTAGACATCCCTTAATCAGGACACCTGGTCACCCGTATACAGTGGGTTGTAGACATCCCTTAATCAGGACACCTGGTCACCTGTATACAGTGGGTTGTAGACATCCCTTAATCAGGACACCTGGTCACCTGTATACAGTGGGTTGTAGACATCCCTTAATCAGGACACCTGGTCACCTGTATACAGTGGGCAGTAGACATCCCTTAATCAGGACACCTGGTCACCTGTATACAGTGGGTTGTAGACATCCCTTAATCAGGACACCTGGTCACCTGTTTAAAGTGAGTATTTCAGTTCTGTTGATCAGGATGCTCTGTAACTAGGGTATGGAAGGTGTTTTGACAGTGACGTTGGTAAATCTTTAATAACCTTAACAAAACAATTTTTTGGAATTACGAAAGAATTGTTTTCATTGTTTGAAATCTGTGTATTCATCATAGACTTAAAAATTTATGAAAATCATTGTTTATGTTGTAATATAATGATACTATTGTTTAGATCTGGAAAAACATCAATACATTGTACAACTACACATTAGTGTGCAGTGACATCATCACTACATGAAGGTTTCAAACTAAATAAATCTGGCTGATTTCATTCCTCATATTTACTATTTCTTCAATGGAAGAATTTTTTGTAAGAATAAACAAATAATAATGTTTTGTACAGTAAATATATATGTTTAATGTTGTAAATATCAGGATTGTATGTTGATGCCAATTAACTGTTCAAAATAATATATAAGAGATAATATTGTGAGTTGAGTTTTTTAATCCATATTTTGCACGAATATCACAGAGTTAACAGCTCCTTTTCCACAGCAAAATACTGAATCATCTTATCATTCATTAATTAATCTTCTCAATACAAACAGCTTACAAATGGGATGTGACCTGAACTTATATCTGTGGTGATCTGATTAATAAAAAAAATACCAGTAAGGACAAGTAATCACAAGGATATGTATCAGCTGGCTGCCCATAGAACCCTGATTCCACAGTATTACACCTTAATATACACACAAGTATAATGCTTAGGAGTAATATGATCACAGAGAGCTCTCACACCCTACACAGTTCAAATGAATCATATCCAAAACTGGTGGTTGACTGACCATCACATACAGGTTGTGCTAATGTGCAGGTAATTACTGACCATTAAATGCAGGGTTCAAAATGTGCATGGAAACTGACCATCACAAGCAAATGGTCCTTATGTACAGGTTAACTGACCAGCACACATTCCTGTGGTCCTACTGAATCAATTACAGACACTCTATTTTCATATGATGACATTTCAAATTTTTGTCAGCTGTTTATGATAAACATTGAACATATACTTTGAAATAAATACTACCACATACCTAGAGTTTCAATAGACATCAGAATATTTTCCAGATTGAACATTTACATTAGAGCGAAACCAAGCAGGATTTGTATAAAAATAGATGCTGTATGATGGCCCCAATTAACCAGGATACAATGTATACAGATCACACAAATGTTTACTCTCAAAATATCCACACCTTATAAACGAGCTGGTAGCAAAGCTATCCTCACAATTAAGCAAGATATTCCCTGTGATATTGTATAGTTGAGGTATATGGTTTCTACATCAGTTTTGCTGTTGGTGATAGGCAGCTGTGAATTTCCACAAGATTATGTCTAATAAGAATTTAACACCTTATTTATCTCAACCATGCCAAAAATCATATTTTAAGAACTTTCAACATTTTCAAAAATTTGATACTAATGTGACTTCAATTATAAAAAATCATCAACTCAAACACGGCCAAGTCCTTGAACCTGGAGCAGAAATTCTAAAACCAAATTCTGTGAAAATTAAAACAAAAGTAACAGGAATTCAAATAGATACACACAGATACACATCTGCAAGTTTTTTATTTGCAAAAAGGTCGAGGATGAAGTTTGGTGTATAATCAATGACAACCAAAACGTAATCAGGTGTAGACTATAATGGTGTGATGCTATGGTGTGAATCTAGACAAAATCTGTTATAAAGTTTCCTATGATATCTTACACATGAGGTAATCAAAGAGAGACAGAGGGATGAATGGACAGATGATGATGCACAAAGTGATTTCTATACACCCCTTACCTAAGAGGGCAATATAATTAAAGCTTCTGTGCCAAATATTGAATAATTAGTGCAAATCATGTCTTCCTTAATAACACATGTTTCTGTTCGCAAACATATTTCTTCCAGAGGGGTAAATCATTTGAAGTCAAGAAATAAAATTCAGAAGACTTTTTTAACTGTTTGATAAGCAACAAATTTACTGCATAATGTACCTATCATGCAAAAGTTTGACTCAAACAGACCATTACTGGACATAAATATGCTCAAAGTGACATCCCTAGACAAGGGTTGTTATACTGGCTACATTGGATATATCTAAAGTGAGAGATGATCAAACGATCAATATTTAGAGCAGGAATGACCAAACACTTACGATACCTTGTGGAAGGAGTGAGCACAAACTAACCACACCTACAGCAGGACTGGGCACAAACAAACCACACCTACAGCAGGACTGGGCACAAACTAACTAGACCTACAGCAGGACTGGGCACAAACAAAACACACCTACAGCAGGACTGGGCACGAACAAACCACACCTACAGCAGGACTGGACACTAACTAACTAGACCTAGAGTAGGACTGGGCACAAACTAACCAGACCTAGAGTAGGACTGGGCACAAACTAACTAGACCTACAGCAGGACTGGGCAAAAACTAACTAGACCTACAGCAGGACTGGGCACAAACTAACCAGACCTAGAGTAGGACTGGGCACAAACTAACTAGACCTACAGCAGGACTGGGCAAAAACTAACTAGACCTACAGCAGGACTGGGCACAAACTAACCAGACCTAGAGTAGGACTGGACACAAACTAACTAGACCTACAGCAGGACTGGGCACAAACTAACTAGACCTACAGCAGGACTGGGCACAAACTAACTAGACCTACAGCAGGACTGGGCAAAAACTAACAAGACCTACAGCAGGACTGGGCACAAACTAACCAGACCTAGAGTAGGACTGGGCACAAACTAACTAGACCTACAGCAGGACTGGGCAAAAACTAACTAGACATACAGCAGGACTGGGCACAAACTAACTAGAACTACAGCAGGACTGGGCACAAACTAACTGGACCTACAGCAGGACTGGGCACAAACTAACTAGACCTACAGCAGGACTGGGCAAAAACTAACTAGACATACAGCAGGACTGGGCACAAACTAACTAGACCTACAGCAGGACTGGGCAAAAACTAACTAGACATACAGCAGGACTGGGCACAAACTAACTAGACCTACAGCAGGACTGGACACAAACTAACTAGACCTACAGCAGGACTGGACACAAACTAACTAGACCTACAGCAGGACTGGGCACAAACAAAACACACCTACAGCAGGACTGGGCACAAACAAACCACACCTACAGCAGGACTGGGCACAAACTAACTAGACCTACAGCAGGACTGGGCACAAACTAACTAGACCTAGAGTAGGACTGGGCACAAACTAACCAGACCAAGAGTAGGACTGGGCACAAACTGACCACACCTAGAGTAGGACTGAGCACAAACTAACCAAAGCTAAAGTAGGACTGGTCACAAACTGACCAAAGCTAGAGTAGGACTGGTCACAAACTGACCACACCTAGAGTAGGACTGAGCACAAACTAACCAAAGCTAGAGTAGGACTGAGCACAAACTAACCAAAGCTAGAGTAGGACTGAGCACAAACTAACCAAACCTAGAGTAGGACTGGTCACAAACTGACCACACCTAGAGTAGGACTGAGCACAAACTAACCAACGCTAGAGTAGGACTGAGCACAAACTAACCAAAGCTAGAGTAGGACTGAGCACAAACTAACCACACCTAGAGTAGGACTGAGCACAAACTAACCAAAGCTAGAGTAGGACTTGGAACAAACTAACCAAACCTAGAGTAGGACTGGTCACAAACTGACCACACCTAAAGTAGGACTTGGAACAAACTAACCTCACCTAAAGCAGGACTAGGCACAAACTAACCAAACCTAGAGTATGACTAGCACAAAACTGATCACACCTACAGTAGGACTTGGCACAAACTAACCTCACCTACAGCAGGGCTGGGAACCAACTGACCACAACTAGAGCAGGATTGGGCACAAACTGATCACACCTACAGTAGGACTGGTCACTAACTGACCACACCTAGTCAGGTCTGGGCACAAACTAACCACTGAATTTAAAGAAGCAACATTTGCTCATGCCTGTAAAGTTCAAACTGACATCTGACAGTCTATGTTATTTTAAATATTGAGTCCTGTAGTTAGCTCAGATTATACTACAGAAAAGGCAATCATAGACAGGTATATGTATTTATAGGAAAAAAATGCTTTTCTCCCTAAACAACGCTTCTAACCGAATCTGGCTATAATACGTCTACCTTCATCCCTATAGAAGAAATAGGTCTTTGCAGCTTTCACTACTATGGACCCTATTGGGTCCATTGCCCTGCTACCCTCAAGGACATCAGATTAACTGTTTTAATATGAAATTGAGATATCTTAGAGTTGGTGGACAGACAAATAAGTACAACAGAAGCTCACACAGTAGTATACCATTAGCTCCACAATGGTCCCTTGGGCAAGGTGAGGTAAAAATCATTTCCTACATCCAACTGTCACCTGATGTCTTACTGAGTGATTTTACAAACAGAGCTCATTGACAAGAAGTCTAATAAGATAAGGCTTAATCAACCCTGTAGTTACGGGGTTCAAATGACTGAATATAATCATACCTGAGACATCCAAGAAAATCAGGTAGCAGCCACCTGTGTACCTGTATAATTAACCTACATCAGAATCTTTGTGAGTAATGCTATGTCAACTCCTCCTCCTCCTCCTCCTCCTCCTCCTCCTCATCATCATCATCATCATCATCATCATCCTCCTCATCATCATCATCATCACAAAAATCGCCGTAACATATATTACCATCTTATCCATGTATTAATTTGAGTCACCAATGACAAACCTCCCAACAGGTATACATCATCATTTATGTACCTGATTGTGTTGTACAAAACTCCATATACCAACACGTACAAGTCATCTTTTATGTACCTGAATATAGTATAGCTATATACATGTACAGTACATTTGTAGATTTAGGGAGATCTGTATGAAGGGAGCTATATACATGTACAGTACATTTGTAGATTTAGGGAGATTTGTATGAAGGGAGCTATATACATGTACAGTATATTTGTAGATTTAGGGAGACCTGTGTGAAGGGAGCTATATACCTTTACAGTACATTTGTAGATTTAGGGAGATCTGTATGAAGGGAGCTATATACATGTACAGTATATTTGTAGATTTAGGGAGATCTGTATGAAGGGAGCTATATACATGTACAGTATATTTGTAGATTTAGGGAGATCTGTATGAAGGGAGCTATATACCTTTACAGTACATTTGTAGATTTAGGGAGATCTGTATGAAGGGAGCTATATACATGTACAGTATATTTGTAGATTTAAGGGAGACCTGTGTGAAGGGAGCTATATACCTTTACAGTACATTTGTAGATTTAGGGAGATCTGTATGAAGGGAGCTATATACATGTACAGTATATTTGTAGATTTAGGGAGATCTGTATGAAGGGAGCTATATACAT